CGGCGAGGGCTGGTGTGGCTGCTGCCTCTTTACTGCGTCAGCATAAGTAAGGGGCGCGGCGACAACTTGCTGCTGAAAGGGCACTGGCATAGCCTCGGCAATCTGGTCCTGAAGTGCATGTCGGAGCATGGGAGCTAACGGTGTCGGTCGTTGCTCTTGCTGCTGCTGCGGGAGCTCTTGGCGCTGACAAAACGGCAGGAGGGAAAGCTGACGTGCGACCTCCTCACGCACAAAGTCTTTCATTTGTGCTAGAAGGCGGGAGTGGTCAGGTACGACGTCCAGGGCAGCGAGTGGTTGGTTAGGCTGAAATGGACGACGGGTGAGAGCTCGTTGCCGTCGCAATTCGTCGTAGTTCTGGCACAGAGTTACCACTTCAGACACCGTGCAAGGAGACTTCGCCAGGAGCATTTGAAAGACGTCGTCATCAACACCTTTCATAATGTGCTGGATCTTGGCACTTTCTGCTCATTGCGGCATCGACGCGCTTGCAGAGATCGAGTAATTCTTCAATATAGGCGGTAAACGTTTCGCCAGGTTCTTGTGCCCGTGAGCGCAGGCGTTGTTCGGCGCGCAACTTCCGCACGGCAGGGCGACTGAAAACCGAGGATATTGCCTGCTTGAAAGTGGCCCAGTTCTCGAACTCGGATTCGTGGTTTGTATACCACAGTTTCGCCACATTAGCCAAGTAAAAGTTGACGGTGCTCAACTTAGCAGCGTCATCCCACCTGTTTGGTCCACTGACTTTTTCGTAGGACGACAGCCAGTCCTCGACGTCATGGTCTTCGGCGCCCGAAAAGATCGGGGGGGTCTCGCTGGTGAACCGGCCGGGGCAAGTAGAGCCGCGGAGGTGCTGTCTTTGGCAGCGTCAACTTGCATGTCCCGGCAAGCGTGTCGAAACAAATGAGGCGTCCTTCCCCATCAGCATGTAGTGACGTCAAAATATGATTCAAGTGCTTTTTAACTAATAAAAAGCATCCAGCGGATGCACCACGTGCTGGGCTGATGTATAAATTGTAATCACGGAAAACTTCCAGTGCAAGATTGGCGTCACGAGCAGCGGTGCTTGTGACTTGTTGTCAAACTTGCCTTATGCAGGCTTGATATCGGGAAAGCAATCACGTTAATACGACCTACAAAGCGTTTTAAAAAAGCGAAACAACAACCAGTCTTCGCACAATGCGGATAGCGTAACGAGTAGGCTGTCAATGCTTCAAATCATTACATAAGCTTGATACCCTATTAACTGTGGCGCATACCCACTTCAGCCATAATTCCTCATCGTCGTCAGCCACTGCACGAACAATTGGCACAAAATTACTTGCAAGTGTTTAGCAGATACCACTCTTCTCAGAAAAATGACGAAAAATAGCAAAGCGAATGCCGGCCTACCACCCTAATAAATTTATTAATAATGACCTAGTGGATATCAAGCAAGTCTGCTTGCAGTAGTTACCCAATGAGTGTTTTGAAAAGGCTCTGAAAGACCGCTCTCCTAGCTTTCGCTGTGACTGTGCTGCGTCTTCCGCACAGGCCTGGCATTTGTTTTAATAATTACGCCTCTATGCATTTTCTAAATGAAAATACGCACTGTGTAACACTTACGTATTATTATCACGTTTCAAACATGCGTAATATTTGCTTTTCGATCGAAAAACTTCACAAGTAACACAGCTACTTGATCAACATACCTTGGCATTGAGCAAAGATTGAAATACGGTTCATTATAGAGACCAACAGAAAGACAGACAGACCAAAGTTTCTGGGCATAGATCTACTGGCAAATTGCCATAATATTCAATGATTTCCGGTTACAGGATTGAGGAAAACATTACTGTTTATGCGGATTACATCTCTGTGTTCACGTAAAGCCAAAGAAGAATCCGCGCGTTCTTGGAGTTGTTCAGCGAGTATGCCAGTTTATCGGGTGCTTGCTTGAACGCGGAGAAAAGCGAGGCCCTTCATTTCGGTGGTTTTCGTTGCTTTTTGCCGGGCAGTATTCAATGCGTGGATGCCGTAAAAGTCACCGGGGTGTACTTTCAAGACGGGGAGGTGGACAAAAGGAATCGGGAGGACGCAGTAAACAGAGCCACGCACATCTTCGCGTGAGCCACCGACTTCAATTTGTCGCTTGATGCAAATGTCAACGGTGGTCAAACAAAAGCGTGCGCATATATGCGTTTTATGTCAGGCACATTGCGCGCATACGCAAACGTTTTGCGAGTCACCTTGCTTTGTTGGTTGGGACTTTCCTTTGGTACGCCAACACACCGAAAATACAGCAAAAGTTCCTGAAGCTCACAAAAACAAAGACTGAAGTAGTGGTTGTACGAGCTGAGATTTCATTGACAAGAAGGCTGTTGATATACCCGAGTGAACAGAAAAAAGATAGGACAACGCCTCAATGTGAAAGTGGTCTTCAGTGTCCCTGATAAGTTTTCTCAGTTGACAAACAGGTCCTGCCCCGTAAGGAGACACAGAAAGCAGTGCGTGGTTAGGCACAGGACGTAGTTTGTCGACTGTGCGCCAGGCGTGGTGAACAGGATTCCATTATCTTGCGGTACATGTTGCATGGGCGAAGCAGGATGATGCCTAAACGAGCGCTTACGGGAACACGCCAATAACGTTCGTTATGGCACAGACGGCTGGCTTTCTGGCGTTACACGTGAGCACGTGTAGGTGCACACCGCAGTTCTAAAAGACAACAGTTCTTGGTGAGAATAAAGAAGAACACGAGCGTATAATATATGAGGCTGCTCAGAGGGCGCTTGAAAGGAGCGCGTGCGTAAGCAAACCATCAGTTGCTCTGTCAGAAAGAGAGCTATGTTTTCTGGGTTCGAGGGTCAGCGTAGTAGGCCCAAGTATTGTTGATGTTGTTTTGTGTCTTTGCCTCTGTCATTGTTTTCACTGTTTTTTTTTTCTGTTAACTTGGGCACATTTAGAGCCTTCTTGTCAAGAAGATTTCAGTTGGAAGTCGGCGCTTGTCCCGTCTTTTTTCTGCCCTCCATGTGTTTTTTTTTTTTGCGCTGTTAACATCAAGCTCTTAAACAGTTGTGGAGGACTTGGCCTGTTAGATACTCCGACATTTACAAAGACATTTGCAGCTAAAACAGTTTACAAATGGTTTTAGAATAAATAATATCCTGGTCGTAGCGTATTGTTGTACTGGACCGGAACTCTTGGAGCCGCATTCAAGCCGGAAAAGTATCGGTGGCAGCAAGCAGAACACCAGCATGTCGTTTGTAAAGCAGCAGCGGACCTCAAGCGTTCGGTCAACTGCGACGTCGCCGAAGAATGCTTTGCAAAGCTTGTACCCGCACGTATTAGCTGAATGCTGATTGGTCACTTCATTACCGAGGAGGACGGCCAAAGATAGAAGCCCAGCAAGTGGAAGAGATGGTGGAACAAGCACATGCCGGAAGTCGTTAGAGAACTTGACCGGTTGCGGTGGTGGGACGCGTTGTCCATTCGTCAGAGACTGTCAAATTGGGGCGTAGTTCCCAATGACCACTGCCCCAACTACAGCAAAAGAGAAACAATCAGCCATACGATGTTTGAATGCGTAGTGGTTAAAGGCGTGCGCCACGTCGTGCGGCGTCAATTCGGAGTGTCAGTTCCTCCGGGATGACAGCGCAGAAGGGGCTTACTTGAACAAATCGCACTTTGTGTGACGATGTTAACCTTGTGGCGTCGACGCTGCTTAGCCGAAGCACGCCGACGGCCACAGCGGGCTGCACACCCAGTGTTACAGAAGATTAGACTGATCATGATTCGGTACCTTACCGAATACATAGAAACGCAGGCTGAAGAAGCCTTCATCAGAAGCTGCAATGCGGGAATTTTCGGAGTGAGGAATGAGAATATTGAATTTACTCTCCTCCCGTTTAAAGTGCCCCCCCCCACACACACATACACACACACACACACACGCACGCACACGCACACACACACACACACACACACACACACACACACACACACACACACACACACACACACACACACACACACACACACACACACACACACACACACACACACAAAATGTTACGTTTCTTTACAAATAAGTTGTGATTCTATTCAAACTTAGTGCTTTCGTGTTTATTTTTATTTTGTTACCTTTAGTGACCCGTGATTTGTGAAAGTATTGCAGCGTTGTAAATTACATCGTGCCCATGCTCTTTTGTTTGTACGTGCCACTTAAGTAACTTTGTTTCACCGGAGAGTTGTACTCATCCGAAGTGCTGTTACCGGTATGCAATAAACTTCCCTGTTTGCAGTATTCCAGGAAAGACTATCGTGTTTAAAAAGACAACTGCTCGCAAAACCAGCTGAAAAGAAGGCGAGTTCATCCACAGAAAAATGAAAGTGGTCTATTGCATCTTTAAATAACTTGATATATGTCAGGAGATGCTAAATTGGTCGATTTCTGCTGGTCACTGCCGCAATAAGAAGGGGAATACGCTTGGCGCAGAGTTTCATTATAGTACACTAGCCAAGAATCTGAAAATAGTGTCTGTGGGAGGGGCGCCGCGTGACAATTTAGTCAGCATAAAAATGGCCAGTAGTACATTACATGAGCTTGACTAAGCTTTGTTTTTTTGCGGCTCCATGTGGCTTTGTGTTGTCTGCAGCCATTTTGTCACAAAAATATGATCACGTGATGTTCACCGGTCCCCATTCCCGTACTTGACCATTTTAGGCTGATCAATTGGAACCAACTTCCGAGGTTCACAACGAGCCACTCTTTTGTACGAAAAAAAGCACCAATAAACATGGCCACACTTGCAAACGCAGCTTCAAGCGCAATGATAAAGCAAATTCTTGTGCTGCTCTTGACTCGCATGGCAGCTGAACTAAAGTAACGTCACAGTTTCTCTAGTAAAGTTTACAGAAAACACTAGGGTTCTCGGCACTCTCACTATTGGCCTGCTCGGGGACAATCGCGCCGCTCATTCACGATTCAGGTCAATAAAATTTTGCCGACTAAACAGTTCACTCACCCGTAGGTGTGACCTGTGGGTCCAAGCTGGAGGAGGGATCATAGCGCACCACTTCCCGGCCTAGGCAGTCGACGTACAGCAGCGTCGAACTGCGCTTGTCCCAGTGTGGCCCTTCACCCAGAAGGCTCCTCCGTGTGCTGGCCACTTCGAGCTTCATCTTTGCGAGCTGGAAGTACAAAAGAAAAGGCACTAACTCACGTTGCTCTAGAACTAAGCTAGCTCGCTTACAAAAACGCCAGTTACAAGCATCGCTTAGCTATATTTTGCAGTCTTGTAGCATTCTTCTTCTCTGCATCAACCTATTGAAGGAAGCATTGTTGATACAGGTACAGAGTGTTGCCATTAGGGGCTACTTTGATCCGCATTGGCTCCATTATGACCCCGTTGGGTGTCGAAAAGGTAAGGTTGATGCCATGCCTCGTTTTTAAGCTTCTGCTTTGAGGCGCTTAATAGCCAATTTTCTTATTTGTAAATAAGGCATCAAGAGAGCTTATAGACGACTCTTTGCATCTTTTTTTACCTGTCGGCTGTAGCATGCTCTTATGCTTATGTTGTCCTTTCACCAGCAGTATGGCACTCATCAAGGCACCTCAACGAAACAACGAAACACGCAGAGACGCTGCAGAGGGAGGACGTTCGTGTTATCTTACACGCCATCAAGTTCCCACGTGTAGAGTAGCAAACCAGTTATACTGGGCTGCTTAACTTCCCCACCTTTCCTTCTCTACCATTTCTTTCCAAGTCGTCAGCAATGAGACTGCGGGCTCTTTAGACATAAAGTCGAGAAACAGAGAATAAACGGATGTTACGAAATGTTTTCCAAAGGAACGTGCTATACTTTTATGAAATAATAAATTATAATTAATTACTTAATTAATAATTCTTAATACCTTCAGGGCCAAAAAGGCATTAAAAGGGGAGTGGGTAAATACATTATTATACAAATAAAACAGTGCAATGAATACAAATAAAAACAATACATTGAACGACTTAGATACTACAACATTTCTGCAGAATCTAAAAAAATAGTTATTTTCAAAATATAAAAAAACAGAAGCAATCAGCATAGATAACATATTTTCCTGGTTATACAATGTTAGCTAATGTTTCATGAAAAATTTTCATGTCAGTGATGCTTGCGACATTCGAGGGAAGGTGGTTCTAATCTTGAGATGTGTAGGGAATAAATGACTGAAAGAAAGACTTAGTGTGACATAATGCTATGCCTATCTTATTGCGATGATCAACACGGTTTGAGATGTACAGAGGCCGGAGTTTCAAATCATTATGAAGTGTTGGGTGATAGACAATTTCATGAAACAGTGAAAGACGGGCGATTTTTCGTCGGCGACCCAGTGAAATAAGTGATAAGTTATTTTTCATTGAAGTCATACTTGCAGTGCGGTTGTAGTTAGGGAGGATGAACCTAGCAGAGTTATTTTGTACTAGTTCAAGAGATGTTATGAGATTAGCATGACTGGGATCCCATATGGCAGATGCATACTCGAGTTTAGGGCGTATGAGAGACTTATAGAATATTAGTTTTAAGGAAGAGGTTGCTTTGAAGAAGTTACGTCGTAAGTAGCGTCATAGGTTACGTCGTAACAATGCGATTAGCATTGTTAATTACGTACTCTACATGAGTTGTCCAACTTAAGTTATTTGTGATGTGCACGACAAGACATTTATAAGACATGACAGAATCTAAGGGAATGTTGTTAAGATGGTAGGTGTTATGATTCGAGTTGGTTCTTGATACAGTGCATTATCTTACACTTCTTTATATTAGGATTCAGTAATCCTGCCTGTTTGCTAGCTCACTGCGAGAGCTCATGCAAACAGGCAGCTATACACCTTCCGGCTCATTCCTTGTTGAATCGTAACTGCAGCCAAGGTGGAGTCCGGAAACCCGGACCTTACCGACCCCCTTCCTTGTCTCTCACTGCCGACACGTCCTGCATCACGGCGCGGAAAAACCTAACCCGTATTATTCATTTATTTAGTTAATTATTTTATTCATTTATTTGTCTATTTTGTTAGTTAATCCCCTATTGGTGATGGGAACTGTAGCACCGATGGGCTTTACAGTGAGGAGAGGGGAATAATACAATATTTTAGTAGACAACAAAGATGTTAATACATCAATTACAATAAATCAATTCACTCTGTACTTACGTAGTCACACACCAGACAGTGTAATATAAAGTTGGTTCATATATTGTTTCATACCACGCGAGTACAACACTGCAGAGCTCGCAGTGAAATCGAAGATACATTTAGTGAGGCTATCTCTGCTGCTTATCACGGCAACCTATTCCTGATGTCTTTCGTTCTGGGGGAAATTGACATTTTAGATATTCAGACCTGCAGAAATAAGGAAGAATTGAAGGACTTGCTTTTCATTGTTAAACATAATGAGGAAGGACAGAAAATATTCATAAGGAATGTAGGGTGTGTGTGTTATAGGTAGTAATTCTGATCTGAATGAAAAGAAAGTAAAGCGGTCGAAAATATAACATGCCAGTGGCAGATATCAAACCTGCGACCTTCGAATGACGCGTTAAATGCTCTACCAACTGAGTTACAATGGCGGGCGTCCACCGTCGATATTGAGGAGTGTACATGGGCATTTAAAGCTCAAAGAGTTTTAGCTTCACTAGCAGCCATGACGGCGAGTGTGCAACACTTCTTTTGTGCCTGCTGGCGTCACGAAGCACACAGGCTATTTCCTTTAGGTTGGCCTGCCTGCCTGCCTGCCTGCCTTTTCCTCCCGGCAGGCCGGTGCCACTGAAATCCTGAAAAGACTGGAAGACCTTCCAATGCTCTCCTAACTCGCGGCAAGAATAAAGATCGCCACCAACCGGGCTACCAGCGTCATGAATTTATTTGATATGAACTTTTGAGTCTTGTGGAGTCATGTGGAGGTCCAAGGAGCCTGGGAGGTCTCAAATCATCTCGCAATACCGTTTTTGAACTCAGCGACAACGATGGCAAAAGCTAAAGCAAACGCGACAGCTTCATGCACACCGAAGAAATGCTGCATTCCGGCGGCACTGATTTGCTGGCTAGCTAACTCACTGCTGCCCACCCGCTCGACCAACTCACTGGCTGATTGACAATTTTTCCACCTGTCGGTGTTGTCGCACAGCGCAAACCATTGACCAAGCAAAGCCAATGCTTGGTCAGTGACTGACTGGCATGGATTGTCTGATTGACCAAACGAATTGAACTAACGGTCTGGCTAAATTGACGGAAATATAACCTTTTCGCTTGCCGGTGTCGGTAATGTTGGAAGATGCAGAGCATTAACCGAGTGCCTCCTATGCCAGGTTCATAATTTTTTATACTACTGCCGCGTTTCGACATAGGTTTCTACTAGAACAAAAGTGTCCAAGTGGAGCATAAGAATCATCGGCCAGAAGTTCTTGTAAAACTTATTTAGTAAAGGACACTCTCACCACTTGCAGCAATACGCGCGGTGGTTGTAGGAATCATCATCCTCTATATGAGCACGATGATGGGTGTCCTGTAGACTGTCTGGTGAGCTGAGCAATTGACCGTTATCTAATATACGTTTCCGCTAAACTTCTTTTTCTTGAACGTTAAAAAAAAACAGAAGACCCGCGGATTGGCTCGTGTGATTCCAATACGCGAGAGCCCACGCGGGCCAATTGTAGAAAGCTAGCTTAATGGCGATGGATTGTACCATAATTCATGTAAAATAAAACGATAGGCTAAGAAGTCCCTTACCGTGCTCGGAGGTGAAGCAACCTCCATGCAGTTTCTGTTGGGCACCATCTTGCGACCAGACTATAGAGGTTGTTCACAAACTGACAGTTTATTAAACATCTCCATAACATGAAATCACGTGGGCACATTTATGCAAAATGTAGTGAGATTACAGCGTGAAGCATAAAGTAGGACCAGTGCGAACATAAACATTTCAAAGTAAGTGCACATTTCATCATTAAATACCAGCATAGCTCATTGGAGGCTCTCTTCGTCCAGGCTGACGAACAGAAACGCCGCGTTTGCCAGACACTCGGGGTATGTGCACAACGTTTATGAACGGCGGTATTTTCATGTATCCACTCGTGCACAATATTTCCGAGCATAGTTATGTGCGCTTTTGACGCTTTGCACCCTCCTTCTTTTGCACGTATCCCGTCATTGTCTCCGATGCTCATCTGACCCCCGCGGGCTTCAGCTGCGATTGAATGCGCAATTTTCAGGGGAACTATTTCCGGACGTTCGCGGGTTCATGTGTAGTATACGTTCTAGGTGTCTGAAACTTTCGTCCTTAACATAGCCAACCCAGTAATTTCCTGTCGTTTTGGTATACTTCAATACCCGAGGCTCCGTATCAAAGGTTTTCATACTGGCGTTTGTAAACGAAATTAGCTAGCGATTTCGGACGTATGACAAAGTCAGTGAAAACAACACTTCGTATGCGCCGTTTTGAACCGCAGATTATTTGGGGGAGCGTAGTTTCTTCTGTTGGATGTTACTGTAACTGCAATGCTCGGTGGAGAGTAGAAAAACATTTTGGTCTTGGTATGGACACATTTGGATTTTATTTTTCTTGCCCTCCTCCATCACAGTGCACAAGTATCACCATGAATTCATAACTACCATTGGTACAGTTCTAGTTGTAATCAATGTTACATTTCGTCCCAGTGAATATGAATGATGTAACGAAAATACAATTCCTAATGAGGCACCTAGGTGATCTATCTCAATGATCGCTACGTTGAAATTTCATGATTCTACCATGGGCTCCGTTAAAGAGCAAAAATGTGGACGTCAACCAGCAAAGCTGTATCAAGCAGTACAAATGCAAAATGAAGGAAGGAAGCAGTGCGTTGTATTACTAATTTGGAGTAATGGTAGTGATAATCACTTTTTGCTTGCTTTGATAGACCGTGGTTGGCCCCACGACCATTTTCAGCAAGACGAAGCTGTTCCTTCAGTCGAGCATTCATTCAGAGCTGTTTTTGAGGTGTCTAAGTCTCTTAGTCTGCCCATGCTGGCTTTGCGATGACTTGAGTTACCAGACAGGTGTTCCTTATATTATGTTGAAGTGCAAATTCCATGCGGAAAAAAGAAAGGGCTATTCGATGTCATTTTTAGTCCTGGAGTTAATAGCGAAGCAGCTGCAATCTAATC